GGAAGGTCAACCTGAAATCCTCTATACAGCAAAACTGTGCTTCAAAAGTAAGGGAAATAGTAAGCTTTTCCCAGAAATAAGTTAAGAGAATTTGTTAGCACTATACTTCACCTGGAAAAAATGCTCAAGGGTCTCCTAAAAGGTGAAGCTAAAGGACACTAGAGAGTGTTACCTAGACAGGCAGTCTGAGCTCTGCGGAGTCTGCCCCATTAGCCAAGATGGTACTGGGGGAGATTCTTATACTAAGCAAGCCCACAGCTATACAGATGAATGGACAGGCCCCAGGGGCAAAAGCTAGCAAGATAATTGGATAGAAGTTTTTAAAAAGCTCTCCCCTCCCTATCCATTTAAGAACCTAGGGCTTGAGCAGGAAGGGCTGATGGTGTTTTTTTTATTTTTAAATATATCTTTATTGATTTCAGATAGAGGAAGGGAGAGGGAGAGAGAGAGAAAGAAACATCAATGATGAGATACTTATTGATCAGCTGCCTCCTGCACGCCCCGACTAGGGATTGAACCCATAACCTGGACATGTGCCCTGACCGGGAATCAAGCTGAGATCTCCTGGATCCTAGGTCTATGCTCAATTGCTGAGCAACACCTGGCCAGGCAGGGCTGATGGCTTTTGAGCTGGGAGTTCCAGGTCGAGTGACACCTGCACCAGCACCCAACTCACAAGTTTGGCTTTCCTTTCAGCAGGTAGCCAAACCCATGTTATTTGGTTACAGTCAGTCAGTCATGCCATATGGATCAACATCTCACTGAAGGTATATATATGGACAATTATTAAAGCTAGTATTATTGTAACAATGATTTGTAAGTGCATTTTTATTTTCTATGTGATTTAAGAAACTAATGTTACAATGCAAATAAATAGTGTAGAAGCCAGTATTACAATTATTATTGTAGGTGGTGGTATGACATTAACAACCCAAAGGGTCGAGGATGGAGCTGATAAGGATCTGTTATTGTAATTTATGTAACTTAAGTTGGTATAAATTCAAATTTTATTTTTATAACTCTAGGATGTTAAATGTAATCCCCATGGGAACCACAGACAAAAAATCACTATAGAATATACACAAGAGAAAATGAGGAAGGAATTCCAACATTTCATTACAAAAATCAACTAACAAAGGAAAACAGGAATGCATGAAAAGAGGGGCAAATAAACTCTAAGAAAACAAATAGCTCCTTCCTTGTCAGAAAATTCTTTAAATTTAAATGAATTAAATTCTACAATCAAAAGGCAGATATGGGCAGAATGGATAAAAACAAAAGATCCAACTATATGCTGTCTAACGAAGACTCAGTGGAGATGAAAAGAGATGTACAAGTTGAAAGTGAAAGGATGGAAAACATATTCCATGCAAACTGTAACCAAAAGAGGTGGCTATACTAATTCAGACAAAATAGACTTTGAATCTATTCAAAGGTTATAAGAGACAAGAAGCACATTATATTTTAATAAGTTTTCATACTGCAAGAAGATATAATAATTATAAACACTTATGCAGCAAATGACAGAGCTTCAAACTAACTGAAGCAAAAGCTGACCAACTGTAGAAACAGACATTTCTATGTAACAGGCATTTCTCCAGTAATAGTCGGACGCTTCAATATCCCGCTCACAATAATGGAGAGCGCACGTAGACTGAAAAGAAGTAAGGCAATAGAGGACTTCAAGAACACAATGAATCAACTAGATCTCACAGACACAGAGCACCGTAGAACAGAACATACATTCTCCTCAAGTGCACATGGGACATCTTCTAGGATAGACCATACACTGAGCCACAAATTAATATTAACTAATCAATAGGTTTTAAAAAGATAGATAACCTACAAAGTATCTTCTCTGACCACAACGGGGTAAAGTTGTGAAGTTTTTCTGAAGGAACCGGTTTATTGACTAGCCATATGCCAGCCAGAAAAAAAGAAGCAGGTCCTGGGGCACGTCTAAACCAGCAGCAGGGATAGAGGAAGGCAAACATTTCTGCCATCCTGGGTTTCATGGGGTTCTTCTATAGTTTTGAGGAGAAAGATGTAAGTTATTTTGAAGGAATTTACATTGGCTATAGATAAGGGGGCAGAAGAAGTGGGGCTAGGGGCATTGCCCGTAGGAAGAAGGGTTTGCTGCTTTCTGATTGTTTGCTGGCAATAGTCTGAAAAGTTCATGTGCAAGCAGGATGCGGTGAAACCTGGTGGTCAGCTACCTCTTATTAACACTATTCTGAAATAGCTCTGGAAGTTGATTCAGAGGTTCAACACACATTTCAGTAGTCTCTGCCCTTTGCTTCTGTTAACTGATTAACTCCTTGTCTCTCCTTCCCACCCTCTGTCCTATAATAAATTAATTTAGGACCATGCCACTATGATTACTACATTTTTAATGACTACAATAGGCTTATTATTACTTACAGTACAGTTTTTATACAATTTTTCTTTCCTTCAATTTAAATTTCTTTCCATTCATTACACAAATTTTCAGTCTCCATAAAAAGCCCAGAATTGATTGGCTATAAGTACAACTTGTTACACAGAAAGGAAGATAAAATCAACATTATGGAAATGCTTCAGAAGACAATCAAAGAAAAAAAGGACCTAGTAACATTTACCTTAGTCCTCAAAGGACCAACTTACTTACCCCTCATTACAAGTAAAGCGAGCTTCTGAACCAAACACAGTAGTTCCAGTACTGTATTGTACTTGGCCATTTATGGGTTCTGCTAGCTGTACACATGCTTTTTCTAAAAGAAAATTTTCAAATTTGTTGTTTTATACAATGTCCAAACAGATTTGAATCAAAATAAAAATTATACATTGCTCTACTACATTCATGAAAAGATTTTTTTTAAATTTATTTTTATTAAATTTATTGGGTTGACATTGGTTAATAAATTTATATATGTTTCAAGTGTACAATTCTATGATACATGATCTGTATATTGCATTGTATGCCCACCACCCAAAGTCAAATCATTTTCTGTCACATATATTTGGTCCCCTTTTCCCTTTACCCCACCCCGACTTCCCTCTGGTAACCACCAAACTTGTCTGTGTCTGTGAGTTTCAGTTTTACATCTCACATATGAGTGAAATCATATGGTTCTTAGCTTTTTCTGACTTATTTTGCTTAGCATAATATACTCAAGGTCTATCCATGTTGTCACTAATGGCCAAACTTAAGATTCACATTGCCCCAGAGAATCNACTCAAGGTCTATCCACGTTGTCACTAATGGCCAAACTTAAGATTCACATTGCCCCAGAGAATCAATAACCAAATAAAAAATTTCCTGGAGATTTTCAAAGCCTAAAAAAATATGTTACTATCTAAAATCTACATCCACCCTTATAACAGTGGAATGTGCAGTTAAAATGTATGAAAATCTTTAGAGCAATAAAAATAAAGTTTAGTGTACTTACTTGTACAAGCCTCCTTGAGAGCTGTCCATGAGTTATTAGGATGACAAACAGCAGTTAGGGGGAGAAAAGGAACAATACGCCTGTATCCTGGGCGACACTCATATTGTACTTTGTACCCAGTATTATAAGGGCGTGCAGGAATACCCTTGGTTTTCATAGAATTGTATCTCGGCAAGTCACCACAGTCACCTGGGCATAACAGAATAAGAACATGAAAGTAAATTATTTTCTGTTTCACCAGCCCCAGAATAACGCCTGAGAGCAGGCAGGGAGTACAGAATGAATGGAAAGGTCCTTGGCAAGATTTGCAGTGATTGTGCCAGGCTTCTACTAGACAATGTGCTGTGTCTGCTTCAAGTAACATTCTATTAGCTTTTGCTTTCTTTGGGAATAAGCTGAATATTCTTTCAACAGTAAATTGGAGAGACAGCAGCAATACATTTGGCTTTAAAATATATTTATAGGTATGCATCCTTCCCATTTTTTCTGAGTTCATTTCCCACTCCCTTTTCCCCTAAGACTTTCTAGCCCTCGATCAGATTGCTCTTCCACAGTTTGAAAGGCAAACTGATGATGACTTGTCACTTCAGACTCAGTCTCTTCTCAGAAGGGAAGTTCCTAGAGATCGAGGATCATGTGCCTCCTCTGTCCACTATACTCTGTACCCAGTGGTGCTCAAGGAATGCTATGGTAAGCGCTGACTATTACACAAGCATCGTTGATTTCATAGATCAAAATAAATATGGACTAAACTATTTCAAAATATAAGATTACATGTCGTATGTTTCATATCAGTGAACTGAGCATTTTCTAAGTGAATAGATGTCAAATATCAAAGTTTATAAATTTAACATCATTTAAAATATAATTTATTCTTCCTTCACCAATGAATGGATCATGCTTGGCCTCAAAAATTCTTTGACGTAGCTGTTTTGAGCTGAATTACTATATTGCTATGCTATTAGAATTTTTTATTTCTGGATATTTTTGTAAATTTATTTCTTCTTAGAATAGTGTAATTTCTACTTCATCCACTCCTCTTCTTTGAAATTATCTATGGGCTTGAAAAGCTAACAAATCTGAAAGAATTATTATGTAAAATAATGTGAAAGAGAAACCTCTCTTATTTCCTGGATTGGTCTTATACCAGATTGATGTTAAACTTTAAAAATATATATATTTGTACTTCTATCAAATAACAAAAATTATGTGAGTCTTTAAATTTATTGGGGTAACATTGGTTAATAACATTATGTAAATTTCAAGTGTACAATGTTATAATAGGACATCTGCGTGATCTGTTGTGAAGTTTAGTCTCCTTCCCTCAACTCTCTTTAATGTGTTCATCTTCTCCCCACCACCCTTCCCTTCTGACAACCACCATTTGGTTGTCTAAAACCAGGAGGTTTTTTGTTTGTTTGCCTTTGTACATATGTTGCTTTTTTTATATCCCACATGAGTGAAATCATGGTTTTAGTCCTTTCATGACTGACTTCCTTCCTTAGCATAATCATCTCAAGATCTGTCCATATTGTTGGAAATGGCAATACTTAATCTTTTTTATGTCTGAGTAGACTTCCATTGTATATATGTACCACATCTTCTTTTTTTAAAAATTGATTCATTGCATTTTATTTTAATTTTTTCCTTTTTTTAAAAAAAATTTGTTCAAAATATTACAGATGTCCCTTTTTCTCCCCATTGACCACTTCCACCCAGGCCCACCCCCCTCCCCAGTCCGTCACCACATCATTGTCTCTGTCCTTGGATTATGAATATATGTATATAAATTCTTTGGTTAATCTCTCCCCTACACCCACCCCCTTCCATTCCTCTGAGATTCCTCAGTCTGATCCATGCTTCCATGTCATTGAATCATTTCTGTCCATCAGTTTATTAAGTTCTTTAGATTCCACATATAAATGAGATGTGATGTTTGTCTTTCTCTGCCGGGCTTATTTCACTTAGCATAATATTCTCCAGGTCCCTCCATGCTGTCCCAAATGGTATTGGATCCTTCTTCTTTACAGCTGCATAGAATTCCATGGTGTAAATGTACCACAGCTTTTTTATTCA